GTATAATTAAATGGAATAAGATATAAATAAAGAACAAATAACAGAATGAAGCAATAATTGTTCAACCCAAGTTATTTATTCAACCCTTTACAGCTTTTATGGTATTACGGATGTAACAATAACCAAAATATTGTGATATATCAAAACTTTCACAATAATATCGGAGGCCATCACAATTACGTCTTTCTTTGTAATTTGAATGTCTTTTTTATTCTGTAAAGCACCTTGAATTACATTGTGTGTGAATTCTGCTATACAAATAAACTTGTCTTGCCTTGTCATGGTAGCCAAGTGGTTCACAAAATCCCCGGAAGTGCAAGTTTGGGTACCAGCCAATCAGCGAAGAGCCATATATTCATTGTTGTCTACGATTCCCGAGATCGAGGATTTAAAGCCGGAATAAAGAGAATGTTTGGTGAATTTCATCAAGGGGAAAGACGTTATTGCCCTTCTTCCTACGGGGTTTGGGAAAAGCTTAATATACCAGTTAGTGCATTACATACATGACTACCAAATAGCGACTGGTTAAATGATAAAAACCCACCTACTGTCGAGCAAACAAATTCTAACACTGCGAGGTCAGACGGTTTCTACGAAGTGAAACTGGCTGATGAATCAGGCTATTGCTGTGGTGCAACAATAGCTAAAAGAAAAGAAGGGAACTACATAGACCATGATCCTTTGGTGTTGTCATTGCAGACTACATGAAGAAATAACTGTTATGAAGCACTTTTAAATCTTAATTCTTCATATTATTACAGTCCCAAGGGTTTTTCAAGGCTTTCTAAGGCATTTTAAAAGGAAAAATATCTCTATAAATATCAAACCACACGATGCATATCTTAAAAATATTGTATTGAGGGGATTTTGATATCTGTACATCCCTAATAATGACTAAAATAACCAGAATCCCCCATTATTACAAAGAAAATATACACACAAACCCCAAAATACATTGTTCCAGCTTTCATATATCGAACCATAAATCGATATATTAATTATCGTTACAGGCCTAATTTTGGCTCATTATTGCTTCATTATGCTATTTATTTGCTGCATCTCATGCCTTTTAATTATATTGCCTATTTTAAACAAGCTTTATTATTATTATGTTGACAGGATTGACCGTAGATCTCTCGATTAAAAAAACTATGGTATTTGAAATGATTGCGTAATTTCACAGCATTACGGCTTCTACTTCTTTTACTTCTACTTCACTACTTCTTTTGCTACTGCTATACAATGAATATCACTTCCCCCTCTGCTTTTGTGTTTTAAATCTACCATATCACATTGAGTGCTTGTGATCTTGAACAGGTTTATTGAAGTTCAGGTGCAGATTAGGGATTATAGAGATTAGAGGTCAAGGTTCACAGATTACGCCCCGCCACTGTATTTAATGATCAGAATGGATGACTGCAGTGCCGCGATTGTGATGTCATTGATCAAACCCAGAGGCATTGTGGGTAAAAAGGCTTGAAGTGAAGTGAAATGAACCGGACTGTATATGGGGCGTGTGTGTGTGAATGCCATGTGCAGGCTGAACAAGTTATGGTCCAGTTATTGTCAACACAGCTGTGGGGTTTGTTGTGATACAGGATTATTGATGCTTTTTCTACGTAATCTTGTTTGGACAAAAGAAAGATGTAAGAAATAGCCAGTGTTTGGACCATATTTCCTTATCTGCGTTATAATGTTGTTTCCTCGTCACAAACATACCCGGAGTTGTGTTTTGTTTCACTCCACATGTTTAACACACAAACCCTGCGTATTTAGAGTTCTTCCCTCTAACTGAAAACACTCTGTTCCACTTTGTGATGTCATGTGGTAATACAGGAGATGCTTTACTGTGTTTTTAAACTCCGTACACCTTCATTAGAATCATTTGGATGATTTCAGACCTGGAATTGCTACTCTGGGATCTCTACTGAACGAAAGGTGAAAAGGTAGCTGTAAACTTGTTAACTACACTGCCCTACAAAGGCAAAAGACTTTAAAGGGACAGTTCAGAATTACATAGGGTCTCATTTCCTAGTGAGCCAGAGTACTTTAGACGTGTGGAGACACTTTTTGAAATATTCCATCCAGTCCTTGTATTTGCAGAGGTCGCTGGTGCTAGGCTAGCACAAGTCAATGGCCACTGTTACCCTGCCACTAAAAACCCACTCCACAGTGCACACGAAACAAATCTCTTATTACACCAGACTGTCGATGTGAATGTCCGTGTCAATAGAATAATTTTAGAAGTAAAACCAACCTTGCATTTGAAGGATTTATGTCTGAGTAGCGGCAGCGAGCTGTACCTGATAGAAAGCTTGACAGCGGCGGACTGATATCACCTGGCACCAACTGGCTCTATAAGAGTTTGTTTACCTGCAGCTGCTATAGCGGCACATAGAGCACATGAAGAAGCCTGTTCCAGTTATGGCCACGTTCATGTCATCACAACTAGAGCAGAGTAAAATTCCACTGCGGCTGAGAAAATAGTCGCTCAACGTGC